TACCAGCACACACACACACATGTTTAAATCTTGTATTTTTTTTTGTAATTTCCCTAAAACCATCTAAACATCCAACAATATTTTCAACACATGTCACACGAGCCAGTCCGCCATCTTGCTGTGGATCAAAGAAAATGAGTCATTCCGGAAAGGTTTGGGTTGTTTTGATTAGACGAAAAGAAGACGTTTGGCACTATTTTCGAGGTCCAGATCACTGGACCAGACCCGTGACCTGACCCGAGATCATGAGAACTAACACGGAGAAGTTAACTTGTAAATGTAAAGTAAAACGATGTAACAATTAAACATGCTTGAAATGTTCTAGATGTGGTTGTGAATATGATGGTTTAAGTGTAGCGATTAAACTAAACCGTCAGATGAGAGAGGAACTTATTGTAAGATATCCTAATCGATTTGACATAAAGCTGAATTGGAGATTCGTCAATTGATTACTACATTGACAGTGAAACATAGAAAAAACGGGCACAATAGTGTCGTTAACTTCAAAAAGGGGAGTGGAATCATATATAAGAAATCATTAGTTTCAATATTTTGTTAAATTAATGGTACAGTAAAATCCAAAGATGTGTTGTTGAAGTTGAAGCAGATGAATTACAAGAGGATTTCCCTAGCGATTCTTAAATTAAAAATGTCATTTCTTCAATGAAGAGTAAATATAAGAAGGATGGTATAATGTCCAATGTGGTGCCACCATAGTACAATCCATATAGTTTTCATCATGTCATATTTCATTAATATTTAGTTGTTTGTTTGTTTTTCGCTTTAGAAGTTGTGCCGAGCTTTATTCATTATGATCCTTCGAAATAACCCTAAATCACCGGTTTCCGGACTAACCCCCTCCCCTGTTGGCCATCCTAGGCTCAGTACTAAAATATGCTTGACTGGCTCGTCTGGCAGCTGTTAAATAAGAACTATGTTAAGCATTTCAATATAATATAAAGTACAGAAGACACTTATGTTAAGAAAGTGTTGAGGAATGATACCCACACTAGTCACACTGCACAAAGATATACATCAAGTATTCGGGTTTCACAAAAATGTAAGACAGTTGACGTCTTAGTCAATTAAATACTAAAGCAGTGAATATTTTTTATAAAGTAACACTTATACTTTCTAACTGCGTTTTTTTTTTAATATTGAATAAGTATTACCAATTAGCTCCAAATGTTCTAACTCGATTTCTATATACAGTTACACTAATATTTAGTTCCAAGTGTTCTCACTGGGATTAAATACTTATGTAAAAATTCACCACGTCTACATTACGTTAGAAGTATGATGAAATTTCACATACCTGGTGTTATGGTGTGTAACAGCTAGGTTGGCGAAGTGAGATCAATTGAAACACTGTTTATATATATATGTAAACTTTTTTTACAAAGACAATACGTTGCAGCCCGGCAGACCTGATGAGCTGTATATAGCGAAAGACCTCGGTGGCGCAAATAACATAGCTGAAAGTTATTAAACACACTTCTTACTAGCCCAGTTAAAGGTAACGAATTTACTATGATGAAATATCGTACCTATTAGGTATTAGCGAAACTCACGCATGTGTTTTCTGGCTTTGAGAATATTAAACTGTTTTTTTTTTTTTTGGTAATAACTTCAATCTTTCGTAAAGGTTGAACTCTATTTTCCATTACGATATAAACTCAGTCAGCTTCTGTTTACTAAATAAGAACAAATAATATAAACTGTCGTTGTTCATGATCTAACAACGCGGAATTGTTTGTAAACAGAAAAAAAATTTACCTTCCTCTTCTGAATCTAGTATATCTTTTATTGATATCCATTTTCACTCTTAATACTAGTTTCCCAGTTTCTACAACGACATATGCAAGTTCTTAATACTAGTTTCCCAGTTTTTACAACGACATATGCAAGTTCTTAATACTAGTTTCCCGGTTTGGACAACGACATATGCAAGTTCTTAATACTAGTTTCCCAGTTTCTACAACGACATATGCAAGTTCTTAATACTAGTTTCCCAGTTTCTACAACGACATATGCAAGTTCTTAATACTAGTTTCCCAGTTTTTACAACGACATATGCAAGTTCTTAATACTAGTTTCTCAGTTTCTACAACGACATATGCAAGTTCTTAATACTAGTTTCCCGGTTTGGACAACGACATATGCAAGTTCTTATTACTAGTTTCCCGGTTTGGACAACGACATATGCAAGTTCTGTTTTATTGTGTTTCTGACAGCAAAATATTTTAAAGATATTTATATACATTCCCCCAAAACAGTCATCTTTCAGACGAAGAGTGGTATTTATATGTATGTGCTATATTTTAATTAAGACTAGAAAATGAATTTTCTTTGTTTGAAGTTAAGCACAAAGCTACACAATGGGCTATCTGTGCTCTGCCCACCACGGGTATAGAAACCCGGGTTTTAGCGTCCACAGACATGCCGCTGTGCCACTGGGGGCTAGAAAATGAGTAAAAATATAAAATTAAGTTACATCCACTAACCACTTGCTTTTAGCAAACTAGAAGCTTTACATATACAAGTTACAATAAAGATTTCATAACATGCTTGATTTGGGAAGAACTGTTTTGTGCATGCCTAGAATACAGAATACACAAAATACAGATTTTAGGAAACTTTTTAATTCCTATGTTCATAGTTTTAACACATCCACATTAGTTTAGAATTTTGACCAACATAGTACCTAAAATGTCACTAATTATGATTTTGTAGATGTCAGGCAAGTTTGAAAAATGCCAGGAACTGATCGCCACCTTTTGTTCAATTTTACCTGAATGACCGTGTTATGAAAAGCTAGTGGAATAACTTTTGCCAATCTGTTTAGTGATTCATTTACGCTGTTTGTATAGTAAAAGACACCAATAAATATGAAACGAATTGCAGTAATCTGCTGATATAGCAATAATAGTTAGGTTCATTCATTTTCACTTTTTAAAATTCAGCTCTCTCTCGAAACAACGAATATTAACTTACCCTCTTTAGTTTCGATACTGTTCAGAGGAGTGAATGTGTGAAGCAATGCTGCAAAGATTTCAGTACATCATGATTATTGCCTGTATGATTACATTTTACTCGTAATTTAACATCTGTCCGTTAGAGCATAATGTCTCCGTTGGCACAGAGGTAAGTTTGAGAGTGTATAACGCTAACATTTTAGACTCGATTCCTGCAGTTAGCAGAGCATTTTGTAGCTTTGTGCTTAAACAAAAAATTATAGCAGGTGTCTTATTTGCTTTGCACGAACTTGTCTTAGAAAGGCATAATTTTGTTGCATAACCGCTCAGCAAATTCTGTGGATACTATAGCAAGATCAGCTCTAGGAAGTGGACCATACTTCACGTTCACATGTATTTTAGTATCAAACATGGCATACTTAGAGAACAACCATCTGTAAGTGTCTGATAACAGAATCATTTCTGCAAAATATAATTATCGTTTAGGGATCCTTCAGCTTTCTGTCGGTTGTCATTGAGGGTGATGATATTCTCAAAATATCATTGACAGCGTCAAACTTCAGTACTTCAAAACTCGTCCCTTACGGCATTGATATCTCTGAATAAGCATTTGGAGTGTATAAGATCCAGTCCCAGTGGAACAGCTTCTGTATTTTTCCATTAGGAATATTCTCCTTGTTGTGTGATAGATGAAGGTTATCTTTATCCTTCGAGACCTGTTATTGAAACAGAAAAGGAATGGAAAATACGATAAGTAAGATATAATGAATTTTTAAAAAACAACAACCCAAAACACATTGCATCTATTGTGGGTGATCCTGTGTGCTAACTCTTTTATCAGAACAGTAAGATATATTTCTTTTTTTATCCCATTTTTCTATAGTTTTAACTTTTTAATTCCCTTAAAAACACAGATGTTAGAAAAAATGTGCTGTATTTTGATACCTTTCAAATTTACAGGTTAAAATGCATTTTGTTTACTAACTTTCCTAAGCTACAACCTCAGTTATAGAGTAGGAGTAGAGAAATGAAACTAGTAAGTACTGAACTATGAGAAATTGCACAACACATTCTAAGTACAAGCATTAAAATATTTTGGTTTAATATTATTGTTAAAAATCAATTGAAATAGCGAATGACTCTGAACTTTTACAATACAGTGTTATATCTTTTACTATAACTACAATGTTTAGGTATGTAGAAAAGTTGAGTTATTTATCACAAACAACTTCTTTAGTTTAACCACACAGATGATGGATTAACAAGACAGACGGACTACATTTTCAAGTCTATGAATGCAAGGTTCAAAAATGTTTCGACGATATTTGATTTCAATAATAACACGTCTTCGATTTAATGATATCACCTGTGTAATAAAAATAGTATTGTGTTCTAAGAGCTCAAAGCTTTCTTCTAAGTGTTGTGTTCTAAACAGAGCTTAAAGCTTCGATTCTAAGACCAGCTCCTGATCAGAAAAACATACTCGTAAAAAAATCTGATTTTTAAAACACAAAGAAACAAAAATGTTTTATTCAGATGACTTTTTGTGTCTAATAACGTGCATTACAACTTTACAGTTTGAAACTGTATTTGTATATCACTACACATGCTATTCAATCATACGGTATGAGTTTGCAAGCAGTCTTAAGTAGCTTCTATTACTAACTTTGTCAACATTGGAGGAAAGTTTATTCTTGAATAAGCGGAGTAAACCTTATCTGAAACGTTTAATATTTAAGTCAATGACAAGCTTAATAGCATACATCTGTAAGGCGTAAGCGGCAAAACAACATGATAATCACTTCTGCTATAAGATTCGTCACTTCTGTCCACGCGCCAGTGAAAAAAAAAATCCTGCAGTAAAGGGGCTGTGTCCACGCGAGCCTCGTTTTCGTCTGTGACGTCATGAACAGTGTGCTTAGCCTCGTGTAATGCGATATCCAACCACATACAGAATCAGGTTTGGTAACGTCGAAATACACATCGATGTTATACTGACACTACTGGTCTCTGTGTTCGTTTGCTTCAAACAACGTCGCCTACCATTTCAGGCAGCATTAGTTGTTCATATAAGTTATAAGTATGCACAACCAGTATACAGATGAGGCCTGAATGATTGACCTGAAGGCATTCTTCTAGTAATGTTCTCTTTATAACAGAACAGTGTCGGTACGCTTTTTATTTATTAATTGCGAGCCAATTGATAGACTGACAAACATGTTGATTTTTACAGCGTCAGCATTGAGTACACAATTTCTAATACGCCATTTTCTTTCCTTTTCTGGTGATCAGTGAGATCAAGCCTGAGACTTGAATCAACAGGTGATCACTGCGGTGATTTTCAGTTCCTGCGGTGGCCAGGTCTACCATTGGAGGATGGTAACGAAGGGAACGTGAGGGGGAAGAGATTGAAAGCCAGAGGAGAGGAACGAGACGGACCCCTGGGTTGCCTACCTGCCTAACGCAGTCTCACAAAAAGACTCAATCGTTCGGCAACTAGTGACTTTTAGAGAAACATTCCGAAGAACACGCATCGACACTGACACCAACTGAGTGAAATGTGCAGTTTGAGGACGGTCTGATGGCAGCTTCTAACTGGTCAGTGTTGGAAAACAGGTGTAGACAAGGAGTCAAATTCTCATTGGTTAAAAATTACTGTGTTTATTTTCTTAACTCCGAAGAAATGACTGCTGCTGTTCAGTCAGTCACGGCTGATTCCCAGTTGTTCTAAAGCACCAGTGGATATGATGCCTTGAGACACTGTGTTCTTGCTAACTAGGGTTAAACCACCTTCGTTGAGTTAGAAGTATAGTTCGATAGTTTGCCATGAAGACTCAGACGTCCACTCTACTTTATTTGTTTACGTTAGTGCTTCTTCTAGGATGTGAAAATCAAAACCTGCCAATGTAAGTACCTGGTTGTGACATTTGTTAACAACAAATTTGGAATTTAATAATTATTTCTTATCGGTAAACGAAACATTGAAAAGCATAACATGCTTTTATGTAAAAGTGTTAACAGTTAGAAGTATTTTGACGTATCATTTGATAAACACACAGAATGTCGAAGCCTAAAACAGTTACGAGAAACACTCCTAGAACAGTGAACGTAGGCTTTCGCCGTTTGTCCCGTAATATGTTCTTGGCTTCAGTTGGCATAGCCTTTACTGCTGGAATGTTACTGGGTATCCTACTGCCGGTGTATATGTTTAGGTTTTCTCCTAATCCAGAGGTTTCAGTTTCTCGCCAAGTAGACCAACAGTTGGATAGATTGGAGCCTCTCACACAAATTCAGTCAGTAACTCAAGCTTCAGTAGTTCCTAGTCCAGTTGAAAGTGACGAAATCCCAGAATTTTTACGGCCTTCCGATCTTGAAAGAGCAGGTGAAAGTCACAAAGGAGTCTTAAGGAATGAAGTTAAGGAGGGGCAGGCTAGTCAGGGAGACATGTTTCATTCGCTGACAACGAGCCGCCTGGCGTTGACAAATGATTTCCTACGGCAGGGTCAAGTCGCTGCCACCGGTAGAAAAGTATCAACGCCGCTAGCTTATTTCGGTCATGTTGTACCTTCCGAACAATCTCTCAAAAGTGCAGACGGATCGCTATATTTTCCAAAAAGAAAATTGAACAGTGAAACTGAAGGTGCTACTAACCAAGGTTTCAGAGCTGTAGTAGGTGTCGAGAACACAAAACTTTACGGTTCATTCGCAGCGAAAGGCAACATTATCCAAGACCGCCAAACCACTATCACTCTCCCGCCTAGACCACGTTGGCTCTCCGTGAACAGGAAGAACAGAATCAACATCAGCAGCAACAGTATTGACGATATCCTCCCAGTGTATACAACTCATCCGAGCTTTCCCGTTACTCCTATCCCTCTTCGAAACCAGGGGTTCTTGAGGAGTAATAACGATCCAGAAACTCGAGAGATAGCTAACATAGTAAATGGGATATATTGGGCTGAAGAGCTAGAAAGAATAATTCCAAATGGTTTTAGTGATGGCGTTGACAGTTGGTGTGAATTTGTTAATAAGACAAAAGTTGTGAAAATCTCTGAAGGATGTGGAAGAATGCAAAACAGACTAGTTACTTTCGATAACGGAAATAAGTCTTGTTGTCGCTACAGGCAAAACAACGATCAAATTCAGGGAGAAATTTTTTCATTCTATCTTAGCAGGCTTCTTAAAATTGGGAACCTGCCGCCATCCGTGTTAGCCCTTATTAGGGGTCAGGAGTGGCAGTGGGAGCACGTGCAGTCCCAGCTCCACCTAGCACAATGGAATGCAGAAAAGCCAGTCGTGTTGACCAAGTTTGTAGACAGCCTGATGCCTGCTTTTATCCCATCTGCTTTCCGTGACAAACATCGACAACTATACCCAGTGGCCGAAGATCTCTTCAATAAAACTGTGGCTGAATTAGTAGAGCTTGCCCAGTGGTCAGACCTAATTGTGTTTGATTATTTGACGGCAAACTTGGATCGTGTGGTAAACAACATGTACAACGAACAATGGAATCCAGAGATGATGAACTCACCAACACACAACCTTGCTAAACACAAACAGTCTGGATTACTGGTGTTCTTGGACAACGAATCGGGTCTTCTTCATGGCTATCGACTATTAGAAAAATATGAGCATTTTCACCGATCTCTCTTAGATTCTTTGTGTGTGTTTCGTAGACGGACCGCTCAATCTATTGTTGAATTACACAGGACTAAAAATACTGGTGAACTCCTAAAACTGTCTTTTTTAAAATATAATCCGAGTTTGGTTGACTGGTTACCGTTCCTTCCAGAACGCAGTTTAAAAACACTTACAAATAGAATCAATACGGTTTACAATCAGATCCAGAAATGCGAAGCAATGTTTAATTAATTTTGTATGGAATGAACATCAAATCAATGTTCAGCAGAGATTAGCGCTAGCACTGAACAGATGTGAATAGTAAGAATTAAAAGTTATACAAGGAAACAGACATCATGTAACTTTAATAAAAAAAATGGCTAATTACCGAAACTTGAAACAACACAAAGTAACTGCAACCGCTCTTTGTTGTGATTTTATCACCTCTCAAATCCTCAGATTAGGCTCGGCTAGCTTAAAGCTAGGTGTGGCTGTTTGGTTGATGTTGATCTTGTAATCTGTCAGCTAGAACAGAACAACCGTTTCTCCAACACGTGTTTCTTAAAATGTGATATAATAGCCCCCAGGAATAACTCTACCTGTGTGTCTGCTGTCCTTATCTGGAGAGGGGAAAGGGAGGTTTGTGTTCCACCATGAGGGACAGTCGGCCAGGTTTACAACTTGGTCTGTCAACCAGGGGTGTGGAGAACCAATCTGTATACATACGTCTCCAACCACAATCATCATTTCCCCGAGAACGGTGTTTATATTCATTACTGCAAAAACTATACTTTCATAAAGATATCAAAGATTTTATTATGAACTTTTCTTTTTAGCCCAAGTACACCTGGGAACTAAAAAAATATGCGAACTAACTTCGATGCAGTTAATTTGGTAAGTTTGGAAGTATGTTGTTATTATGTATATTATTATAAAACTCGTGTACAAACACTTATGCATTTCTTGTAAAGGTTTGTATATATACTTAACCAAATGTAAGATTTTTGACTTCATTTTGTATATGCTTTTTATGCAGTTGTGAAAACAAACTGACCAATTTAAGCTGGCTAAAATCTACATGTTTGTAAATGGTAAAGTATTATGTCAGAGTTGAAATTGTGGCTATGATAAATAAAGTGATTTAAATTTTCAGATTAAACCTTCAATTATCCTTAATTTATCCTTATGTTAATTCATAAGTTATCAAATTTTTGACGAAACAGCCTTGAACCTTGTTGTAAGTTTGAGTTGAAGGGTTTTAATCATAAAGTTCACTACTCTTAAACTCCTTAAGGAGAGTGGGGAATTAATCTCAGCTTTATTTTAATAGAGCTAACATACTTCTTATCAACGTGTTAAGCCTAATTAACCCTGAAACGTCTTGCTCAGAGCACATTTTACCACAGCTGTCACCTATAGATTTAATATGTTTAACACAACAATTCAGAAAATGTCATTCATATATGTTTCAAAACCCTAAAGTGACGAAATTTTACGAGTAATAACCCTTTCAGACATCATAAGTGATCAGTCCCTAAGGAAGAGAAAAAACAACACATCGCATGTTATTTATCCATACCAGTAAAAATTGTTTACAAGACTGAAGTTTAGAGTTTGTCAAACTTTCTTTGAGTTGCACAAATTATGTAGCTTCGTATTGTTTACAGAACCTGTTCTTTCGGTTTTGTTTTTAACTTTAAACCTACGTCAGGCTTTATCGACTGATAGATCTCTTTTAATAATGACTCCTAAATACTGGGTGATCGTTATGGCCAATCGATTAAATTTGTTCGATAAGGGTTTCTTTTTGTCATATATATATATATATATATCATGTATCGGTTTCTTTAATTAATTATTTATTACGGTAGAAATGGAAATATTAAGATACGATCAATAAAAATGTTTTATTATTTTTACAAACCAAACTTTTTATTACAAATCTTTCCACGATTTGACATATAGCCTGTACTTACACACACCACTTGGTTCCGATATGCAGTTTACTTCCTGAAAATGGTCACTTCGTGTAATGTATTACATGCTTGATGTTTGGATTTTTCTATTTAAGGTCAAGAGAACTGTTTAACTAGACGATGTAAAAATTATGTTAAAATAAAAAAATGGTATTGATTGTTGTTAAATTTTTCTCATTTTTCTCATTTCAACAATTTACTGCTTTAGATTTGGAATATTCGCTCCTTAACATGTCTGCTAAATACAAGAACAGTTTCAATAATTCAAAATTGTTACATAACAACAAAAACTTGAAATAAAATTTCAATTGTTTATATAACTGTTTCTGCTGCTTAAACTAGCATTCATTAATTTGATCTTATCGTGGATAATTATCAAACTTCAAATTTTAACTGATTTTCATTATTACAAAGGAATGAAGATTTTTGGCCAAACCAGAAGTTTTGTAAACTTCGTCTATTGAACATTTATTCGACACACTTTAGTTCTTCCCTACTTCACAAAATTAAATAAAGTTTATTTGTCCTGCCTATCTTTTTTTTTATCTGTCCAAGTCTTGGTAACAACGTTATTTTCCATTGCTTTTATTTGGCTGTTTTTGCAAAATTTAGATAAACTTAATAATAGTAAAATGATGTATTCATTAATTAATGAATGAGAGTACAAGGTAATTATACTATATGTAAAAACTGCGTTTCAGACATAGAGTGTAACAACAACAACAAACCGTATAGATCAAGAATTGTAATAGTATCAGGCTTTCATTGTAATGTACATTAAAATGTTCACTTGAAATTTACCTTATTCAGTTTCTTCATTGGTCTAGTTAAACATCCGTAAGATACTGTTATATAAAACAACAAACGATTAGAATAATAAACATCGCTTAATTATACAAATATAAGATATTTAGGCGTTGGGAGATGGACAACCATCTATGGAAATTTTGTTGGGTTATAGTTGGGGAACTTGTGGCTGTCAGTTTCCTTTTCATTTGTAACTATCCTAACATATATAACATAATAATCGCAGGAGACAAATGTGGCGTACACATTTGTACATCGTTTAAAAATATAGTAATATTCTATTACACTTTTTACTCTTTCATGAGTTAAAATCAAACTTGTCCAATTCAACAAGGCTGTTTAAATCCCCCCACTTCCTTCCCATCAACTTGGAGATGTTTTTACCCCAAAGTCTAGCCTTTAGTCATAGAAACAATTATTTCCTTTCAAAGCCAATCCACTCCTATTGCCGCATACTTGCATTAATGGCCGGACTTAAAGATAGTGCAGTGGATTGTGGATAGTCGAATTTTAGTTGAATGCACTATCACCATCAATAAACAGATGTGCACCTATGGTACACTGTGAGCTATATGTTTTATTTACTTGCATGACAATAAAAAGTTTAGTGCCTTTGTTTATATTCCCCAAAAGATTCATGTCAATAATTATACATTTTGTTTATAATCCATGAAAAGTTTGTGTCAATAACAATTTTATCCCTTTACTTTTGTTTGTATTATACGTTAAACGATTACTAACATTAAGATTAGGTTTTATGTTCAAATTCCGTGTTAAACTCTTGTCAACAATAAGGTTAGGCATTGTATTTATATTATAGTCAGTAATAAGGCTGAGCTTGAAAACATCTTTTTCAGGTATTAGTCTCAAAGTGGGTTCCTCGTCATCGAATCTTTTTCAGGTATTTACATGAGAATAACAGCTGTGAATGAGCTATCACTTCCATATTTACTCGAAAGTCTACACGGTTATATTGCCAGAGATGCACTATCAGTATAAAAAACTCTGATAATGGTATTTTCAAAATAAATGGCACTTTATGTGTACGTAGGCTAAATGACCAGGTCAGAAATCCCTATGGTTTATGTATAACTGTCCTATTTCTGAGTTAATGCTTGGGGGGGGGGGGAGGCAGCCGGTGAGCAGTACTCTCCACCACAAGGTCTGTGTGCAGCTTTGAAGAGAATAATGGGATTGACTGTCACTCTTATAATACACCCGCAACCAAAAGTCGGAATTAGCAGTGAACTTTGGATCTTCCGATGCGCTGCCCGGAACGTTAACCACTAGGCCATGCCTGGCTCAAACTAGATGAGCTTTGTTAGGGTTTAATCTTTTTGTTTTACAAGTTTAGATGGTGAAATGCATCAGGACTGAGAGACACCTATGAAAAACAAAATACATTTCATTATTTAAAGCGTGTCTTGTGTTTTTGTGCCTTCTTCCGTGATGTGTCCGCCGCATTAATACAATGTATCCATGTGCAAATGCTTACCGCCTTACTAACATAACTATAGTTGCAGCTCTTTACTTATTGCCTTACTAACATAACTATAGTTGCAGCTCTTTACTTACTGTCTTACTAACGTAACTATAGTTGCAGCTTTTTACTTATTGCCTTACTAACGTAACTATAGTTGCAGCTCTTTACTTACTGTCGTACTAACGTAACTATAGTTGCAGCTCTTTACTTACTGCCTTACTAATGTAACTATAGTTGTAGCTCTTTACTTACTGCCTTACTAACGTAACTATAGTTGCAGCTCTTTACTTACTGCCTTACTAACGTAACTATAGTTGTAGCTCTTTACTTATTGCCTTACTAACGTAACTATAGTTGCAGCTCTTGCTAGAACTCCATCTCATATGCTGCCATGATCCCTCGTTTGTCAGAAGAACGCGAACTTCGCGTCCTCGATTTATGTTGAATAATACAGGCATTGATGGCACATCGTTTATGGCAATTAACTAACGATAAAGTGTCACACTTGTCAATGAATATACACATGAAACCTTAACGAGCTGTTGAAAGTTATTTAAGCCTAGAATGTAGTAAAATGTGAATTTTGTATCTTAATAATATGCCTTAAACACGCGCCAGTGAATCAGCTATTTATAGATATTTAAAACCAACTATCTTTGTTTGTTTAAATTGAAATACATGTACAATTCGAGACTTCATGCATATAATTGATATATGTTTTCGTTTCTTAAAAACACAACCAGATAATTCAAACTGTGCACCTTTATGATTCTTATATATTTTATTGTGTTACGTCACGTGGTATAAGTAATTTCCTTGGTTTAAAAATGTCACGAAAACAGTAAATTTGTTGAAAGTCCATCGTCTTCAGCAAGTGCACAGCCTGAATATATTTACGTATAACACCTGAACACTTGCGCAATTCTTGTCTGGTGTTAAAGGTGTTTAGTATCTTCGTAGACACAGCGTTTAAACTTCACAAAACGAAGCTCACCCGTGAAGTTTAGTATTGATAAATTTGAGAACTATAAATTGGGACTCTCAATCCTTTTATGTTCCACTTGGAAAATTTCGAATTCAAGAACACAAAAGTTAATAGGCATACTTTGTTATAAACTTGAGTCCTAATTGACCTTGCGTATACACGATGTAATGTTATTACACATCAAACTGAGGCCTTAATTTGTTGTAGTTCTTTATGCGTAGTGTTATTTTTAAGTGTTTGACGAATGTACATTGTTCTTTTATTTGTTTCGTTATTAAACTTTTGTGTTTAGTCAGCTTTTTGTCTGTAGTTTCAGTTGAATGTTTTTAGATAATCGTGGTTTCTATCTTTCTAAACCATATTTTGTACTTTTTTTATCAATCACTCTGCTTAATCCAATTTTCGCCAGCTATTAACCATCTCAAATTTATCATTATTTTCACAATCTTTAGTTTGACAATATTTAGATTATCTATTACCAAAGAAATGATTGAAATTCGTATAATACAAAAGCACCAAATATAGTCAGAGGCCCCAGTGTACCGATCAAGCTCCCATAGCTACCCCGTTAGG